GGACAATGAGATAACTGAGCCAGAAATATCAACAAAGCACTTGAGCTCTTGTCGCCTGACTTCCGTTTTAGTGGAAGATGTGAAATAACAAGAGGGCCGGATGGGCTACATTTCTGGACAAAGCTGAGGTGGATTGAGTTCAGATGGCTAGTGGGTCAGAGATAACCAGGCTTCTCTCTGTGCGTTTTCAGTGGTGAGCAAGATTATTTTAGGTGATATAGTGTCAAACATCTTACAATAGTTTAATAATTAGATGGTTTACTTGAAGTGTTAGAAAAATACTTCACAGATGTTATTACTTAGGATGAGCCAAAGTAGGTAGCATTTGTTAAAAACGGGTCAGCTTAGAGAAAGCATTAGGTAATTAATAGAACAGGTGTGTGCAGCAGCTAGCGCAGAGCTGTGAAGGTGAGGGAGTGGCTCAGGTGTGGGAAGTAGCCACAAAGACAAGAAGGGACAGGGGGCAAAGGGAATGAGGAGGAGGAGAGCTAACATTTATTGCAGTCTTAGCTGGGAATCATTTTCTCCTCCATAGCACCTGCTAGGAAAGGTCTGAAAGAAGGTTGTACCTTCTTTCCCTTGATAAGGAGGAGGAGTGGGCCAAGGGCACAGTGATGGCTCCATCCCTCACCATGACTGGTCATCCTACCAGAGCACAGTGGGTTCCTGCTGGGGCCTCATGTGGCCAGTGCTCTTGGAGGGGAGCAGGATCCTCCGTCTGCTGGACCAACAATTGCAAACTGTGTGCTGGTGCGTGGGTGCTGGTTGCTGAGGCCCTAGTCCTTGCAGTCACTTTCCTGAACATGGTTCTACACTCTGCTAAACAAATGAAGTGTATCTGACCTCTGACTGAGGACACCTCTTTAGTGGGGGAAACAGGTGGCCCCGATGGTGGGGAGATGGCAGTGAAGAAGGTGTAGGGTGTTGCTTGGAGTTGGGGAGGCTCTTTGTATGCCTTGGTGGTATATGGCTTGTTGCAGAATATATTGTTTGTTCTCATGGTTTGAAAGAAAAGTCCAAGAAAGTAATTTTTTAAAAGGACCAAATGGTAGTTGTTTGATAGTAGGTTGGGATCGGGGCTCAGCTTGATGTCCAGGATCAGGACTTAGCCTGGCATCCAGGATTGGTGCTTAGCCAGGGTCAGGGTCAGGGCTTAACCTGGAGTCCAGGTTTCGGGTTCAGGATTGGGGTTCAGCCTGGAGACCAGGGTCAGGACTCAGCCTGATGTCCAAGGTTGGGGATCAGCCTGTAGTATAAGGTCAGGTCTTAGCCTGGAGTCCGGGATCAGGGCTCAGCCTCGGGCAGGGTCGAGGCTCAGCCTGGGTCAGGGCTCAGCTAGTGCCTCTGTACACAAGTGCACAAGTCACAATCCCCTCCTCCCCACATTATGTCAGTGGAAACCCAGGCAGGGACAGGCTGTGCCATGGCAGGCCACCTCGTCCCTGATCTGTCTGGCCTCACAGCCTCTGTGTGGACCGGGGGACACCTGTTCTGCTCTTTCAAAATCCCGTTGTTGCTTGGGCTCCAGGTTTTCTGGAGATAGGTATGCACGGTTCTGGCTCCTACGATACTTGAGAAGGCTGGGCCCCCAGTTCGGCTGTAGCCTAAGGCTCAGTTTCTCCTCCCCTGGAGACCTGCCCCGCCCAGTCTGCGCTTCCCTCTGCCTGGACCAAGGCCAGAGGCAAGAACAGTGTGCAAGACTGGGTGAGAATCAGCCCCACCAGTCTGGTGAGTGGTTGCTCCCTTTTTTCCTCCCATCCGGCATTCCAGCATTTCATCCTGCCGTTCCCAGAGGGTAGGAGTAAATACCTGATATCAATTTAATAATACTTAACAAGTATTCAATAAGACGAGATGCCTGGATTTTGAGTATAAAGAATAGTTTTTTGAGAAATTGTTTGGGGCCACATTGCCAACGGCAGGAGGGAGCCATTGAAGGTTTTTTCTTCCTTTTTTTTTTTATTGTACTTCAGGTGAAGGCTTACAGAACAAATAGTTTCTCATGAAACAGTAGTACACATATTGTTTTATGACATTGGTTAACAACC